TCCTACGCGTCTCCTTTCTATTGTATGCGCGTGTGTATGCATATCGTCCAGAAAGAGAAAATTCAGAGTATATAAATATAGTTTAAATATACTATAAATGGTCTCTCATCTCTATGCTATAAATGTTTTTTTTTCAATCTTTGAGCTCTTCAAGAATTTGACCCTTCTTCTTCTCCTCCTTCTGCTTTTCTTCATACCCTTTTCATATAAAAACTATACGCTGTTGCTGCTTCTTCTTCTACATGCAAAACTGCTACTACTTTCATCCTATATATAATCTACTTCTCAAGAGTTCTTTCAAGCTTTTGTGATCTCTTTGTGATATTCAATAACCATTATCACACCACACACATGGGGTCTATGAACTTGTTGGGGTTTTCTCTCTCTCCTCAAGAACACCCTTCTAGTCAAGATCACTCTCAAACACCACCTTCCCGTTTTGGCTTCAACCCTGCTGGAATCTCAAGCACTGATGTTGCAGGAAACTGTTTTGATCTCACTTCTGATTCAACTCCTCATCTACTCAATCTTCCTTCTTATGGCATATATGAAGCATTTCACAGAAACAATGACATTCACAACACCCCTCAAGGTTTTCACTTCTCTTTCATTACTTTACATATAACATATCTTGCTTTTCTTGGATTTTCCACCAGTGCAAATCTTAAGAAGGATTTATTTTTGGTTAATACTATATATTTGAAAGTGGTTGGTCTTTTGCTGTTCTTTTAATCTTTGCTTCTCATTTCTCAGATTGGAAAGAGAACTACAACAGTCAGAACTTGCTGTTAGGAACTTCATGCAGTGACCAAAACATGAACAACAATCAACAACAACAACAGCAACCAAAGCTTGAAAACTTTCTGGGAGGACATTCTTTTGGAGAACATGACCAAACCTACGGCGGTAACTCAGCCTCAACAGATTACATGTTTCCGAGTCAGCCAGTGGCCACCAGTGGCGGCAGTAGCACAGGCAATAGTAACTCCATAGGGTTATCCATGATAAAGACATGGCTGAGGAACCAACCGCCACCGTCAGAAAACAACAACAATGAAAGTGGTGGGAACAGTGGAAGCAGTGTGCAGACTCTCTCACTTTCTATGAGTACTGGTTCACAATCCAACACTTCACTTCCTGTTCTCTCTGCAAATGTGGAAAATGGAGAGAGTTCTTCAGATAACAAACAACCACCAACCACTGCTGCACTTGATACCATCCCAACAGGAGCCACTGAATCTGCACCCAGAAAGTCCATTGACACGTTTGGACAAAGAACTTCTATATACCGTGGTGTAACAAGGTTTTTTCTCATTTTATTTACCCTAATAAAAAATCTGTATTACTATATTTTAAATTAACTGTCCCAAATCTTTCATAACTGCTTCAAATCTCAGTTAAAAGGTTACCTCAGTCAGTTTCATTGTTGTTGGAACAAGTTCCCTTTTTTTCTTTTTTCTTTTTTCTTTTTTTTTTTACTTTTTATTTTGAAATGATGATGAAATTATTCCGTTCTGTTTTTACTTTATCGAAGGCATAGGTGGACTGGAAGATACGAGGCTCATCTATGGGATAATAGCTGCAGAAGAGAGGGACAAACTCGCAAAGGAAGACAAGGTAAATGATCTACCGTGTTCCTCTACAGTTCTATGGTTAATGTTGTCAATGTTTTTCATTTTCTTTCTTTGCCTTTTGAGTCTTTATAACTAACCGACACTGTTAATCTGTGTTCCTCGTCTCGACATCCATTATGGGACAATGACTTTCTTCAACATGATGACCTTTTAGTTTACTTGGGTGAGTAAAAGAATATACACTTCTTATGTTGAATTATCTCTATCTTTTTTCCTTAAAAAGTAAAGAAAAGAACCATAAAATTAGTTATTATTGGTGATCATTTGTCGTCACTACTTTCAGGAGGCTATGACAAAGAAGAAAAGGCAGCTAGAGCCTATGATTTGGCAGCACTAAAATACTGGGGAACAACCACAACAACAAATTTTCCAGTAAGCTGTCATTTCTTGATTTTGTTTTGCCACTTTTTTTGCTTTTTTTTTCCTGTTTATGTTCACTAAATTAAGGTTGTTGTTTGCACACATTGCTTTATACAAAGTTGGTATCGGTATTAACGAAACAAGTTATGGCATCATGGTACTCGAGGGCACATTGTTTAGTTGGTGTCCCTGTGGGATGAAAAAAGTTTCCTCATTTGATGGGATGTGTCTTTTCCTAGGAGGAACTGTTATTTGTCTGATAATGCAAACTATGTATGTGTACATGATCACTTGATGTAATCTTTTGACATGGAATAATTTATGTCTCCCTCAACAATCAATGCATTTTAGATTAGCCACTATGAGAAAGAGGTGGAAGAAATGAAGCACATGACCAGGCAAGAGTACGTTGCGTCATTGAGAAGGTATTTGCAAGTGTCTATACTCACCAAATACAACTTTTATTAATTTTTTAAACTATCTTATTCACAATAAAAAATCTCATTGATGCAGGAAGAGTAGTGGGTTTTCTCGCGGTGCATCCATTTATCGAGGAGTAACAAGGTATATAGTTGACTATATAGACTCTAATATGTACACAAAAGTCTATAATATATATGTGATCACAATGGTAAATTAAAATTATTAATTTTTTTTTATTTGAAGTATTTGCAATAATTTGGTATTTGAATTTTAACTGGCAATGCTTTGCAAAAATTTGTTAGCCCACTATGTCATTTGTGTTAACCCACTGTGTCATTTGTAATATTGAAGTTATAATATGTATATGAATATGCTATGTTTATATCTTGTGTTAATTTAAATGATATGATTGCAGACACCATCAACATGGTAGATGGCAAGCAAGGATTGGGAGAGTTGCAGGCAACAAGGATCTTTACTTGGGAACATTCAGTAAGTTTATATTTTAGATATTAATATGTTTTGCACCCAAAATCATTTGAAGCAGATATGACAGTCTTTCATCAAATTTGAAGATGCATATACATAGAATAATTTCAGTCATCCGATTTTATTTTTTAAAGGAAGAACTTTGAAAAACTTAATCATAGAGTCTGTTGTGAGAAGCAACTAGATAGACGAAGGTAGGTAAAAAGTGAACATCACCTCGAAGCAACAAAAATGAAGAAATTAAAGACAACATTTATTGCCATTCAGATGACCAAATGTTAATAATGATCTGCAGAAATATTAATTTCATAAAGTAAATGTGCATGTTTGATAACTGACGAAATTAACGCAGTTGCAGTGCATGCATTTGATCCAAAACCTATGAAACTGCATCTATGTTTTTTTACTGATGATGATGATAAAATTTTCAGGCACTCAAGAAGAAGCAGCAGAGGCTTATGATGTTGCGGCCATAAAATTCCGAGGACTGAGTGCTGTTACAAACTTCGACATGAGCAGATACGATGTGAAGAGCATACTTGAGAGCACTACCTTGCCGATTGGTGGTGCCGCCAAGCGTTTGAAGGACATGGAACAGGTGGAACTGAACGTGGAAGCTCATAGAACAGACCAAGAAGATCACAGCAGCATCTTGAACTCTCACCTTACTCAAGGTATCAGTAACAACTATGCAGGAGGAACAGCAACAGCTCATCATAACTGGCACAACGGTCTTTCATTCCACCAACCTCAGCCTTGCACCACCATGCACTACCCTTATGGACAGAGACTATGGTGCAAGCAAGAACAGCACGACAATTCTGATACCTCTCATCCTTTGTCTTATCCTGAGATTCATCAACTACAGCTAGGGAATAACGGCACACACAACTTTTTCCACGCAAATTCCGGCTTGCACCCTATCATGAACATGGATTCTGCTTCCATTGACAATAGCTCTTCGTCTAACTCGGTGGTTTATGATGGTTATGGAGCTGGTGGGGGCTATCTGATACCTATTGGGACTGGTACTGTTGTTGCAAGTGACGGTGATCATAGTAATATAAGAGGAAGTAATGGTTTTGGTGATAATGAGATGAAGGTACTTGGTTATGAAGGTCTTTATGGATCGAATGATGCTTATCATGCACATGCAAGGAACTTGTATTATCTTTCCCAACATCAATCAGCTTCTGTAGATGCAGTGAAGGGTAGTGCATACGATCAAGGCTCTGCATGCAACACTTGGGTTCCAACTGCAATTCCAACTCTTGCACCTAGGTCTACCAGCATGACTCTCTGCCATGGTGTTCCACCCTTCTCGTTATTGCATGAATAGGTGGATAACTGGGGATGATGACAATGATGCATATATTTCTGACTTTCCTTCTTCCTCCTTATATGAAGTTGCTAATTTGACAGTGTGCACCTTTTGAAGACGAGAATATAGTGTTTCTTTCATCATCTCTAACTTGCAGATCCTTATTTCACTAGGGTCTGGTCTAAGTAATCTAGCTAGCCTCAAGTTTAGTCATGGCAGAACCATTTGCTGTGAATTTTGGTGATTAACATGTGGACAGATAGATCATTGGGATGCTTCTTTTTTTATTTTCACCGGATTTTGTAATTCTGGAATAACAAGGATCATACAAAGGGTGGAGTTTTCATCAATGTATATGCTTGGCACTAGCTTTTTCTTAACAAGAATTCTTCCTTTTTCATATGGAATGACCAATATGAAAATTATTTTGCACCTTATATTACTACTAATGTTAACTCACGAAAACATTAATTAGATTTAAAATTTATACATCTAACAAACGTGCGTTGATATGTATATGTTCTTGTTTGATTATTCGGAAATACACTACAAAAAAGTAGGGCATTACCGAAGGGCAGAAGCCCTCGGTAAAAGCCACAGGCCGTCGATAATGGGTGTTTACCGAAGGCTTATCGACGGCCAAAAATCCTTCGGTAAATCCCTTGTCGCTAACAATTACCGAGGGCTTTCGCCCTTCGGTAATTACCGAGGGCCAAAAGCCTTCGGTAATTACCGAGGGTCAAAAGCCTTCGGTAATGACCAAACGAGGGTATTTACCGAAGGGCAGAAGCCTTCGGTAATGACCAACAGTGGGCATTTACCGAAGGGCAAAAGCCTTCGGTAAATTGCAGAGCAGGTTTCAGAGAAATGGCATTTCCTGTGCAACCCAGACCTGTATATCAAATTTCAATTACAAGTTCGGAGCTCTAGTACCAACTTGAAAGAAGATTGTTATTCAAATTGATTAATTTTAAACAGTACAGCGGTCTCTATAAATAGAGAACTTAACCCTACAGTAATAATTACAAAGAGATCTCTATAATCTTCTAAAAACCTATAACAACTTCTAGTACCTTCCAGTAAAACATTTAATATTCTACCAACTACCATTTAATATTCTACCAATTACCAATGGCCTCCTAATATCTGCAGATGAAAGACCTAGTTTCCTTCTCAAGGCTTGCTTATTCTCTACTTTCCCGTGCAGATCAGTTGCATTGTACTGGACTGGAAGAAATTCATCAGTGGCAGGATTCCATGCATCAGTATCAATACCATTAAGAATGCCAATGAACTTTCTGGAGTGGGAAGAGAGTGTTGAATGGAGACCATGTCCTCCCTGCATTTTTATTGGAACAACTTTTTTAAGACTGAAAAATTAGGAAGAGCACTAGTTTAAAGTTAAATAACGTTGAGAATGAATTGTATGTCTCTCTATCGTTTTCTTAATATATAGAAAAACAGAAAAATCCTCGTAAAATTAAATGCAAATAATTTCCAAACCATGCCAATTTGCAAATTGGATCAGCTAACTAAGTTCCCTTCTGTTAGACAGGTAATAATAACAAATTCCAAATGATGATACAAAGACATAGGCTAGAATCCTACATTATTATTAGTAGCATAGCCCTTTTTATTCTTGTTGAGAACAAAATTTACAGAAAGCTTAAGTTGTTAGGTGGAGCACACCTGCACTTGAAAGCTACTTGGGCTTGAAAAATGAACAAAATAAAATCTCCCCAAATCAAATTCTAAAGTTGATTTGAGACGCAGAAGTTGCAAAATCAAATTCTAAAGACTCAATATGTCATGGTCAAGAACCAACTCCCTTGAAAAACATTACGTGGAGACATCTATATGTTTGTGCCAACATGTGTTGTTGCCTTATTATTTATATTAATTAATTAAAGACAAAAGATATTTTGGTAGAACTAGAAAATACATACTGCACTAGAACAAGAAATAAACCATACCTCTGCAGTTCTCACTTCTTGGGCATAAGTAGGTGAAACTGTTGTCACAATGTTTGAGAAAACAATCCCACCCTGATCATGAAAGGAAAATCTCTATTACCTATATTTATTGAAGATATATAATATGATCAGTAATATTTTATGACCTTACCTTGACAGAATTAACTCTATCCCGTGCTGAGTTGTCCTGCATTTTATCTGATTGGTTTAGATTCTGGCTAACAAGACCACATGAGTCTAACTCTGAAGCTGCTGCAGTCCCCTGATACTCAAAGTTGTGGCATGTAAAGCATATCCTAGCTGAATTTAATCCTTTATGTACAAATATCTCCCAGTACAGAGGAGCCTAGCAAAGAAACAGATATGCCATACTATTAGTAACTGAAAGAGCAAAAATATGCTAGAAAGAACTATACAGCTCATACAATAAATGCTGTCTGCCAATCATGGCAATGAATGATATTTGGCTTCTTGCCAGCTTGCAGAAGAAACTCAAGAGCAGCACGGCTAAAAAATGAAAATCGTCTGAAATCATCATGCTCGCCATAAAATTTTCCTCTCCAAAAGAACTTAGAAGGATGCTGGGGCTCAATAAAATAAACAGGAAGACCTGCACAGTCAAAGTGAAGTTACTGAACCAGTAAAAGACAATCAATTAAAACGAAAATATCTAATAAAATACCTACAACACTGCCAACCCAGATTTTACTTTTGTATAATTGGTGATCAAAGTATGATTCTATCTCCACGCTCAAAGCCTGAATGAATAATCACATTATTTCAAGTAGTGCAGGATACCAACTACCAAGACTATCAACACGTTCAATTATTTTCTTAATGAAATGGCATACCCGTAAGTTGCAGACACGATCATATTGCTTACAATCATATTTGGGAAGCACAATTTCAACAAGGTGTCCTTTCTTTTGCAGTGCAGGTCTACACAAATCATACATATGACTTACCAACACATGACAGTATATGACAATAGTTCACTTATAAAGCAAATTAACTACATAATATAAAATTAAATAAATAGCAAGTCAGTAGTTTACAGTGAATAAGCAATACACACCATATCAACATCAATGGTCGCTACACTATTCCAGCTAACACTATTCCAGTAACAAAAATGCTTGTTTGCACGGACTGAACAACAAATCCAT